AAAACCTGAACCCTGGCCAGGGTGGCTCATTGGTTGGACATCATCCTATGCACCATAGGGTTGCTGGTTCAGTCCTCTTTCAGGACACATGCTCCGGTTGGGGGTTCAATTCCCAGTAGGGGGCCTGCAAGAGGCAATCGATTGATGCTTCACTCTCACATCAGTGTTTCTCTCTCTCCCTCTCCCTTCCTCTTGCTCTAAAAAAAATAAAATAAATTTTTTTTTTTTTTACCTGAAGACATTTAGACATACAATAAAGGAGATGAACATGGAAACATGTTTTAAAACAGTGAAAAAAAAATCACAAATAATTGATTACCACTATGTAAAAACTGTGTGCATATTAATAAAGATTAGAAGACAATAGAAAGTAAAATAGCTGCTGTGTGAGTTTGGTGAAATAATAAATTATATATTTGGTATCACATTTTCTTTAATAAGTTTTAAAAGTCATTTTGATGTAATTTTGTTTAGAATAGCAACCTACCTTGGGGTACTTGAAAAATGATTCAATATCTAAAAATAGAACATACTCATTAGTTATATGTAAATTAGCATTGTTAGGACACCTGTCATCCCTCCTGTTAGAATGGCCACTGGATTCCATCATTTCTAAATTCTCAACACTAACCTTTATTATTTTTAATACATATACACACACACATATATATATATATATTTTTATTGATTTCAGAGAGAGAAAGGGAGAGGGAGAGAGAAATAGAAACATCAATGATGAAAGTCATTGATCAGTTGCCTCCTGCATGCCCCCTACTAGAGATTGAGCCCATAATCCGGGCTTGTGCCCTGACTAGAAATTGAACTGTGATCTCCCGGTTCATGGGTCAATGCTTAACTGCTGAGTTACGCCAGCCAGGCTGCACTACCCTTTAAGAGGATGCATTAGAAATCTTTGGATGAGAAATTTTAAGATGATGATATTATATCTTAATGAAGAAGCCAGATTCAGTCTCTCGTAACTATTTTAAGCTTTGTTTGGCAAGCTACTTAAACAAGGATTTATACAGCTTCCCAATACAAAGAATTGTGCTAAAAACTATCAAATGTAAGAATTCATTGTTTAAATCTAATATCCTTGAAAAAAGGAAACCCAACTAAACTGTATTATAAATTTAAAAATAATTATCTAATCCTAATCTATGCTTTATTAAGTATGAAATTTCTAAAGACAGATGGATTTGTTTACTTAAATGTATTTAGATTTTTACCTGTACAAAGGGCAATCATTTAAAATACCAATTTTTTTTTTTTTAAACATATCTTTATTGATTTCAGAGAGAAGAAGGGAAAAGGAGAGATAGAAACACCAATGATGAGAGAGTCATTGATCGGCTGCCTCCTGCTTGCCCCCGGCTGGGGATTGATCCCACAACCCAGGCATGTACCCTGACCGGGAACTGAACTACGATCTCCTGGATCCTAGGTCAATGCTCAACCACCAAGCCACGCCTGGCCAGGCTAAAACATCAATGCTTTTCTTAAAAAGCATTCAAAGTAGTTGCTTCCAGGAATGGATCAGGGGATGAAAAGAGAGGTTATTCCTTAAAAGCTTATTGGTACTGAGAAAAATGAGGAGGAGGTTCAAGATGGGGGCATAGGTAAACGTGATACTCACCTCCTGCAACAACCACATCGAAATTACAACTATAGAACAACCATGATTCAGAACCGCCTGAAATCTGGCTGAATAGAAATCCTACACTAGAGAATTAAAGAAGTCATACTGAGACTGGTAGGAGGGGGGGAAGCGAAGAATGAGCTGGTCTGACACCCATGTGTGGCATTTATTTAATTGCGAGAGATATCTTGGCTGCAGAGATCTCCTGTGAGGAACAAGGTCCCAGCCCCACACCAGACCCCTCAGCCCAGAGTTCCAGTGCCAGGAAGAGAAGCCCCCCCAACTTCAGACTAAAAACCAGTGGGGATTGTGGCTGAATGACGTGGAGGCTGCTGGAGTTCCAGGCAGTTCCTCGTAAAGGGCCAGCACAAAGACTTACTTGGACTCACTCCCTCTGAGCTCCAGTACGGGGCAGCAGCTTGAAAGGATCCAGGGACATATGGGGAGAAACTAAATTGTCTGGCATCAGGGAAAGAGCTGGGGGGCAGCTTTCTCCCAGAAAAGTGCTGGCAGAGATCATTGTTCCTTTACTGAGAACTTCCTGACACAGAGCCTAAAGGCAGGCACCATATCTGAGTCTCCATCAACCTGGCTCACACTGTTCACTCACCCCCTGGTGATTCTCTGCTCCACCCAATTTGCAGGCCCTCCCAAGCTGTTTGCAGTGGCCTTTCCATATGAATGGTCTGTCCTTGCTCAGGCTTTAGAATTTCATAAAATTTCTCAAGCAACAGCAGGCCCAGCACTAGCAGCACCGTGCCTTGGTTCACAGCTTGGCCTCTCCTGGGCACCTCCAAGCCCAACTCAAATAAGATTACTCTGTAGCTTGGGATGGGTGGACCTAGGCAAGACACAGGCAGTAGCTGCTTTGCACCTCCCAGGAGGTCCCACAGCCAATGCACCGAATGGTCAGCTTCAGACCACGCCAGATTACAACCCTACCACATCCATGAGTGACACACTCATGGGGTGGACTCAGTGAGCACCAATGCCCCACTGAAGCAAGTCCTGATCCAGAGGGCCATCTCTTGCAGAGCAGCTCTTCTGCTGTAGTGACAGCTGATCCTCACAGCTGATTGGCCTGGATGTCAATCCCTCCCAGTAACACCAACAACAATAAAGGCTCAACTACAACAGGACAGTGCATACAGCCCACACAGAGGCACACCTAGCGTGCCCAGCTCAGGTGACTGGGGAGGCAGAGCCACTGGGCCCTAAAGGACACCTACCAGACAAGGCCACTCTACCAATTCCAGGAGACATAGCAGCTCTATCCAATACACAGAAACACACAGAGAAGCAGCCCAAATGCAGAAACAAACGTGTAGCAAATGAAAAAACAGAAGAAACCTCCAGAAAAAAGAACTAAATGAAATGGAAGCAAGCAAACTACCAGATACAGAGTTTAAAACAATGGTTATAAGAATGCTCAAGAAACTTAGTGAGAACTTCAAGGAACTTTGTGAGAACATCAACAACATAAAAAGGCCCAGTCAGATATGAAGGATACGCTAACTGAAATTAAGAAAAAATTACAGGGAATGAACAGTAGACTAGAGTACACTGAGAATCAGATCAACAATTTGGAATATGAGGAAGCAAAAAACACCCAATCAGAACAGCAAAAAGAAAAAAGAATCAAAAAATATGAAGAGAGCGTAAGGAGTCTCTGGAACAACTTCAAGTGTACCAACATTCACATCATGGGAATGCCGGAAGGAGAAGAGAGGGTGCAAGAAATTGAAATCTATTTGAAAAAATAGTAACAGAAAACTTCCCTTACCTGGTGAAAGAAATAGACATACAAGGTCAGGAAGCACAGAGTTCCAAACAAGAGGAACCCAAAGAGGCCCACAACAAGACATATCATAATTAAAATGCAAAAGGTTAGCCCTAGCCAATCTGGCTCAGTGGTTAGTGTCAGCCAGCAGACTGAAGGGTCCCAGGTTCAATTCCAGCCAAGGGCAAGTACCTCAGTTGTAGGCTTGATCCCTGTCCTCAGTCGAGGCACATGAAGGAGCCAACTAATCCATCTGTCTCTCTCACGTCAATGTTTCTCTCCCTCCCTCCCTCCTTTCCACGTCCTCTGAAAAAGCAATGCAGAAATATCCTTCGGTGAGGATTAAAAAATAAAATAAAATGCAAAAGGTTAAAAACAAACAGAATCTTAAAAGCAGCAAGAGAAAAGCAATTAGTTACCTAGAAGATAGCACCCATAAGACTGTCAGCTGATTTCTCAACAGAAACCTTGCAGGCCAGAGGGAATGGCAAGAAATATTCAAAGTGATAAAAAGTAAGGACCTCCATCCAAAATTACTCTACCCAGCAAAGCTATCATTTAGAATTGAAGGTCAGATAAAGAGCTTCATAGACAAGAAAAAGCTAAAGGAGTTCACCACCAAACCAGTGTTACATGAAATGTTAAAAAGGGGAGTGGAGTCAAAAAATATGAACAATAAAATGGCAACAAATACATATCTATCAATAATTGAATCTAAAAATCAAAATAAATGAACAAGAAATCTAATGAACAAAATAAACTGATGAATAAAATAGAAGCAGAGGCATGGAAACATGGAACAGACTGATGAATCTCAGGGGGTTTGGGGGTGGAGGATTAACCAAAGAACTTATATGCATATATGCATTACCCATGGACACAGACAAAAGGGTGGTGAAGGACTGGGGAAGGGGGAGAACTGGGTGGAGGGAGGGCGATGGGGGGCAAAAGGGGGGTACATTTGTAATAGTCTCAACAATAAAGGCCTTAAAAAGCCTATTATTATTTGATCACATAAACCATAAATATAAATGATTTAGATACATATACTTTTATATGTGAAGTAATTACTGCTACTAAATATAACCACCATAAGCCAAAGATAATACCTGGGGGTGAGGAAAGATGTTGCTCTTGCAGCTTCTCCTGGGAGAGGAGTCCCAAGTAGCTGAGAACAACATACTTTGTTTCATAGTGAAATCCCAGAGGCATGGACGTAGAGGACGCCATTGAGTTTGGTGGCAGAGCTCGAAAAAGGTCTAACAGATGTGTAAAACCTAAAAATATAAAAGTATTTTTTCAGTTTAAAGTTTATTACATGCCAGTTCATTTTCCCCTTAACTCCAATTAGTCAACTAAATACCAAAGTATTTCACAGACTTTTGAGTAATTTTTAAAAACATTATTTCTGAGTAACGTTTTAAAAATGGATTTACTTACAAGTGGTAATTTATTCAGATTTCAGATCTAAAGCAAACTTCCCTCTCTCCCTAGCTTCTCTATTTTCACCTATATGGCAAAAACACTAGTTATGCCCCCACTGCACCTGCATCCCAGTATATGCTATCTTATTTCTATTACTAATAAAGCCTCCTAAATTTTAGCTAGGTCCATGGCCACACAGCTGCCGATTATATTTCCCAGTCTCCTTTGCAACTTAATGTACCATATGATTAGTCTCAGCCACAGGAATATGAGTAGAAGTTACATCTGCGATTTGTGTGTCTTTCCTTAAAGACATCCTCTTCCCTCCTTTCTATGGTTTGAAATGTGAATATGGCAGACATGCAAACACCACCACCACTAGAGGGGATGATGAAGCAACAAGACAGAAGGAACCTGTGTCCCTGAATGACCATGTAAAGCAGAGCGACCTTGCCAGCCTGAACCACTAGCTTCTGGGACTGTTATTTAAGTGCCTATATTCTGAATCTCTTCATTAGGTTTCCTAACTTGTTCCTTAAAGGGAGCAATAACTACAACTCTCCCTTTTTTACCTGGACTTAGTAGCAGTTTTATCTACCATGTACCTTTTTAAGATTCACTCTCAGCATGTTCCCTCTCTTTTCCACAGAGCACACCCACGCTTCTCGTCCAAGGCACTTCTCTCTCTCTTGTTCTTTCTCCTAAGTTCCAAGGGCCCTTCTTTTGCCTCTGTAAGTTATTTCCTGAGTGCATTTCTTCTATGGCTCAATTCTTCTACCTCTATGACTTTCTAAATAAACTTTCTCTTATAGTTTGAAATAATAAAAGATTTACTCTCACATGCCATACAGCTGAAAGTAATACAAAATAATGCTGAATGTAAACTGTAACTGAAAAAAATTTTTTAACTTAAATAATTTACTCTCTTAGCAGCTTTCAAATATGCAATACAGTATTAACTATAGTCACCATGCTGTACATTATACCCCCATGAATGATTTATTTTATAACTGAAAATCTATGCCTTTTGAACCCTACTGTACCTTACGAGTTGTTTACAACCAAAATATCTCATTAAGAGGTTTCTAAATAACTGTTTTCTACTTAAAACAATAATACAGACTGCTTTAAGATCTCAAGAAATATCTAGTAGCCCTGGCCAGTGTGGCTCAGTTGTCTGAGCGTCATCCAGTGCACCAGGAGGTCGCAGGTTCGATACCAGGTCAGGGCACATGCCCGGGTATGGGCTTGATCCCCAGGACAGGACATGCAGGAGACAGCTGATCAATGTTTCTCTCTACCTCTCCTTCCACTCTCTCTAAAAAAAAAAAAAATCAATAAAAACTTATTTAAAAAAAAAAAA